AGAATTATCACCAGTTCATTGTGTGTACAAAAGAACTATCGACAAGTCATGTTTACAAAATAAACAAAGATCCTAGTTAGACACGTGAGTGAACCCTATAGAGCACAGCCTTTACCATCTTCCAGTTTAATGTTCATGGATGGGTGAACTCTATAGAGCACAACCTTTACCATTTTCCAGTTTAATGTTCATGGATGGGTGAACTCTATAGAGCACAACCTTTACCATCTTCCAGTTTAATGTTTATGGATGGGTGAACCCTATAGAGCACAACCTTTACCATCTTCCAGTTTAATGTTTATGGATGGGTGAGCCCTATAGAGCACAACCTTTACCATCTTCCAGTTTAATGTTTATGGGTGGGGATAGGGTTCACCCATCCATGAACATTAAACTGGAAGATGGTAAAGGTTGTGCTCTATAGGGTTCAAAAGCACAACTTTTACCATCTTCCAGTTTAATGTTTATGGATGGGTGAACCCTATAGAGCACAACCTTTACCATCTTCCAGTTTAATGTTCATGGATGGGTGAACCCTATAGAGCACAACCTTTACCATCTTCCAGTTTAATGTTCATGGATGGGTGAACCATATAGAGCACAACCTTTACCATCTTCTAGTTTAATGTTTATGGATGGACGATATTTTCTACGTTGAACCCTATAGATCACAACCTTTACCATCTTCCAGTTTAATGTTTATGGATGGGTGAACCCTATAGAGCACAACCTTTACCATCTTCTAGTTTAATGTTCATGGATGGACGATATTTTCTACGTTCAGGAACAAATTTATCTTCGTGCTGGACTCGAACCTTATATTGTTTTTGAGCTTGAATGAGATGTGTTTCACACGTCTCCCTGTTGTGGAAACAGGAGAAAATGAATGTGATTGATGGCACATGTTTGTATTATGGATAGAGGTACGATGAATGCGTTTAAAGGCACATGTGTATTGAATATGTTGAATGACACGTTTTCGTATTGTGGAAACAAATGCGTTGAATGTGTTTAATGATGTTTAATATTTTTTCCTTGTCCCCGAATAGGAAATCACCATAACCGTATTCTGCTATTTTATAGATAAGTTCAGTAACTATTCATATAACGTATCATGAAGATTCAACGTCTATGCACCAACTACGTTGTTTTTTAACGATATGATAATTGTCGTTTTATGGATGAACAATAAAAGTACCCACGCAGCATTTGTTTCGTTGACTTTAAGGGGATGACAGAACTATAATACTAAGGGATGGCCCGACAATAATAGTAACAGGGGAAATTGAAATGGTTCTGAGTCTCGCAAAAAGGAATAACATAAGGGGATTTAGGATTAATCTTGGGCGTATCCAAGAATCTCTGAAAGTTTCCTGTTGATTAGGGGTTGGGATGGTGGAAACAGTTTTATTACGGACAGAAAGACACGAGCTTTTGTATAGTATAGTTCTGTTACGAACAGAGAGACACAAGCTGATTTATAGTGTACTTGTGTTAACAATTTCAATACGGACAGAAAGACATAAGCTTTTTTATATTGTAGTTGTGTTAACAGTTTTATTACGGACAGAAAGACACAAGCTGATCGATAATGTAGTTGGGTTAACAGTTTTATTACGGACAGAAAGACACAAGTTGATTGATAATGTACTTGTGTTAACAGTTTTGTTACGGACAGAGAGACACAAGCTTATTTATAGTATAGTTGTGTTACATTGACAAAAGTAGTATTGTTATAGTAATAAGACTTAACTCGATACCTGTGGTTCGCGGGATCGAATCCCACCATCGAAATAGTAGCCCAAGAGCCAGTGGCGGTTAGTGTTGACTAGCTACTTTCCCTCTAGTCTGTCATTTCTAATTTCAGGACGGCTAACGTAGATAGCTCTCGAGTACTGGATTCATGATGGAGAAAATAAAATCTAATAATAAAGATGAAGACGTTTGACAAAACATAAAGCATTCATATTTACAGAAGGTTCGAACGTTTCGGAACACACTTATTCCATCTTCAGCGAAATCTGAAAATAGTGTTAGAAAGATATTTATTAACTAATGCCGATTCATGGTGTAGTTGTGTTAACAGTTTTGTTACGGACAGATAGACACAAGCTGATTTATAGTGTAGTTGTGTTAACAGTCTTATTACGGACAGAAAGACACAAGTTGATTGATAATGTACTTGTGTTAACAGTTTTATTACGGACAGAAAGACACAAGCTGATTTATAGTGTAGTTGTGTTAACAGTTTTATTACGGACAGAAAGACACAAGCTGATTTATAGTGTAGTTGTGTTAACAGTTTTATTACGGACAGAAAGACACAGGTTGATTGATAGTGTAGTTGTGTTAACAGTTTTATTACGGACAGAAAGACACAGGTTGATTGATAGTGTAGTTGTGTCGACAGTCTTATTACGGACAGAAAGACACAAGTTGATTGATAATGTACTTATGTTAACAGTTTTATTACGGACAGAGAGACACAAGCTGATTTATGGTGTAGGATATAGGAAAGGGACAGTGCTATAACGTATGTAACTATGATCTAGCTTTTAAATATTAATGTACGATAAAGCAAAAATAAGATATATCGTTAAGCTCCTTATAAAGTGCTGGTCCGGCATGGCCAGGTGGTTAGGGCGCTCGATTCGCAATCTGAGGGTCGCAGGTTCGAATCCCCGTCCCACTAAACAAGCTCGCCCTTTCAGCTGTGGGGGCGTTATAAAGTGACGGCCAATCCCACTATTCGTTAGTCCAAGAGTGATGACTAAATGCCTTCTTTCTAGTCCTCCACTGCTAAATTAGGGACGGCTAGCGTATATAGCCCTCGTGAAGCTTTGCGCGGAATTCAAAACCAAGCCAAACCTATAAAATGCTAGACACAACTCTTAGAAAATATATCCGCTTCTGACATGTAGAAACTAAGCAGGATATATGTGGTTTCAAAGTCCAACATCTATTCAGTATATTCCTAACTACTGAATTTCTGAACCCAGAGAAATGTTGATATCTTTGATATATAACTGTAAGTATACGGCTCTAGATTATAAATATACGGCCCTACAAGTATCATGAAACCATCTTAGGAAACGTCCCCAGTATCTGAAAGTGTACAGTTTTCGAAAAAATACATAGTCTTAACACAACCAAAAACATCCGCATGGTTTATGTTAAGCTAAAGAGTCCTACAACTGTATCAAACAACCTAAACTACTCTATTTCTTGCAAAAACAAGTTTGAAGAGGAAACAACTGTTCATAATGTTCAAGAGTCCAAAAAAGTCCAGTATTTATCACATGTTTCAAGACTTTAGCAACACGAGAAGACAAAAAAATAGGTCGGTAAAACATCAGTAACAAAGGTGGTTTAAGAATGCATACGATATTAACACGCTTCTAGTCATTTGAGCCATTACCAAGAGTCCAAGTCATTATAAATATTTTTATCTCAGAAATCTAGATTAGCCAACATAAAATAAGTTATCCCATAAGATCCAGCTTCTCAGTTGAAGGGTTGACTGTACCAGAACAAAGTTTGTTGATAACATTGTGAAGGTCCTCAGAGAGTTACATTCACTGAGTAAAGCACAATGGTAGTCAACCAATAGGGATGAACTACGAGAAATGAAGTAGGTAGCATAAGCATTGTTCCTCTCATAAGGTGTAACAAGTACACGCTCTTCATATTTCCAGCTCAAGCTACTATGGAAATTATGTATATTATAGAAGTCTAGAAACTTCTTCCAAACAAGTGACAGACATGTGTTCTTGTTTAAACAGGAACAAAACAATTGTCAGCAATCCTTCTTACGTTTTCCAATATATTTCCGAGTTTTGGCTTTCATACATCAGTAATAATGAAATGCTACGTTTGTAAAGTGACAGCTTATAGACTGACATTTATTATGTATTAATGAAACTAAAAGACTGAATTAAACATCCCACAAAAGAACTTTATGGTGAAACGATCTGCGACCAGAAGAAGGCCAAGTAGAGTGAATAAACTCTTTAAGGATAGTTCCAAAACTTCCTGCATTGGAGATAACATAAGTCAAGGATTGAAGACAGGAAAGAAAGTCCCAAGACGATAAGGTTTTAACGACTCCAACAGGGGCTGTAAGCACGACTAGAGTTTATAAAAATGATATAATTATTTCATATGAGAAATAGTTATTGCCGAAATAGGAAGAACAAACGAATATTACTTCAACTAAGTTATGGAGAAATAAAGGTCAAGGTCAAAGGACTAAGAATTGTAAGATAATCATCATTTATAAGAACTAAAGGACTCGTCTTCAGTTTGGCCATCAGGTTCCCATAAAGAATGATGTGTACTAAAAACTCTTCTTTTAACATCTAATATCAGTCGAACCCACTTTCACTACTGAAGGGGACAAATGTCAAGTTTAAAGAAATTAATAACAATATCTAGTCATAAACATTCTAATGGCTCAGTCGGTAAAATTCCAATAGAGATGTAGTTAATATAATTTCGAATTTAAAATATCTACCACGAGCAGAACATATACGATCAAGATGATGAATGAAGTAGCTTAGAAAATAATAAATGTTGAAGTTTAAACTAAGTTTCACAATTGATAAAATCGTGAGGGGGGGGGACTAAAATCTAAATACTGTTTAAGCTCCCCCCTCCTAAGCTCTTAAGTTCTGTGAATTTCACTACCCTACCTAAAGGTGGAAAATCGTATTAAGGAGCATCACGAGAGCTTTAAGACTTTATGAACAACCTACAACCTGTGGTTCTAAAGTTGTGTAATGAAGACGAAAGAAAATGAATTTAAAAGAAGGGAGAACAGTGTGGACGTATAGAACTATCCACCAAGTGTGTTTGAGTAGAAACAGAGATGGTAGTTGAATATCAATAAGGTTCCCGGAGATACGCTTACTAAGTGACTCAAAGAATGTTTCAGAACGTCAGAAAACAAGAGAAGGGAAGAACGAGTGATCAGAATTTGAAGAAAGGGTTTTTTTTACACACTAACCTTTCAATCTGTTTTCTTTGAGACAAGTGGAACACTGAAAATAACAGGCAGAATGAGCTTCGTCACTTGGGAGAGTCATGTGAATCCCAACACCAGGAACACCACTGTCACTTGGAATATTAATGTGAATTCCAACACCAGGAACACCACTGCCACTTGGGCGATTCATGTGAATTCCAACACCAGAAATACTACTGTCACTTGGGAGATTCATGTAAATCCCAATACCAAGAACACCACTGCCACTTGGGCGATGCATGTGAATTCCAACACCAGGAACACCACTGTCACTTTGGATATTCATGTAAATCCCAACACCAGGAACACCACTGTCACTTTGGATATTCATGTGAATTCCAACACCAGGAACACCACTGCCACTTGGGCGATGCATGTGAATTCCAACACCAGGAACACCACTGTCACTTGGGAGATTCATGTAAATCCCAATACCAGGAACACCACTGTCACTTGGGGAATTCATGTGAATCCCAACACCAGGAACACCACTGTCACTTGGGAGATTCATGTAAATCCCAATACCAGGAACACCACTGCCACTTGGGCGATTCATGTGAATCCCAACACCAGGAACACCACTGTCACTTTGGATATTCATTTGAATTCCAACACCAGGAACACCACTGTCACTTTGGATATTCATGTGAATTCCAACACCAGGAACACCACTGTCACTTTGGATATTCATGTGAATCCCAACACCAGGAACACCACTGTCACTTGGGAGATTCATGTAAATCCCAATACCAGGAACACCACTGTCACTTGGGGAATTCATGTGCATCCCAACACCAGGAACACCACTGTATATCATGATAATGAGACCAAATCACTAACAACGAGATTAATTAGGTGGGTTATTATTGACAAATAATTTCACCAAAAATCGGTAAAGATTTAAATTGGCAGCTCCGTGCCCTCAAAAGTGATAAAAAATCTGAAAGTATCCATCCTAAACTTTTCTAGTTAACCTGCGTAGACCAATGACGTTAATAGTCGAGCTACTTACTTATTTAGTTCTGGATAATATTCTGATATAATTCATCTACGTTCTCTAGTACAACTAGGTAATTAAGCAGTAATACAGTGTCGTCAATTTAAATAAATCTTGGGCAGCAGAACTACCTCATCGTCAGCTAGATTTAGAAGTTTCTGAATACTTGCAGTCGAAATCATAGTTTGCAGAACACTAGCTAAATGTGTCAAGTATTGTTTGAATTACTGTTGACCAGAGGCAGAGGGAAAGAATAGACGGACAGCTTTTCTCTCTTTGGAAAGACGTCTTGAAACCTTAGGTTCTGACACAAAGGAGGCAGCCACTGAAGTGTTTTCGCGCTACATCTATTGCCATTCGCTATAACACAATCATATTCTAAAGAATCAAAAGGAATATTTTTATCAAACATATAATTATATCTGACTTGATAATTGACAACAAAATAGGCTAAAAGACATAAAAAAGACTCTGGGGTGACTCAGAATTAAGATAAAAAAAGGATCTAATTTCCAGTAGCACTGGTAATATAACCATAAGGAACTAAGTTTAACCCTAAAACATGAACTACAAACTTTCATCTGATTATATAGATGACAATTACAAAATGATCGTAACCTGTAACAAAATAACAATAGGGAAAGAAGAGAAACAGGGAATTACAGTCCAATTAACAATGAAAACTCTCGTTCAAACCCACCTACAATCCAATCCACTCCAAAGCTGTGTGAAGACTTTGCTGATCCAAAGTTCATCGCCTGTTTGGGGTACCTCTCAGATATACTTACCCATCTTAACCAAGTCAACAAACAACTCCAGGGAACGTCAGTAACCATTGTTGAAGCAAGTGAAAAGATGACAGCATTGCAGACAAAGCTGGACTTATGGACACGGAGAGTTCACCAAAGTAACTTTGCAAATTTTCCAAACTTGGATGAGGAAAGATCTGGAGTGGTACCTGAGATAAATGAAGACATCACAGAACATTTGAAAATCTTGAAGAATCACTTCACTGGCTACTTTTCAAAAGACATGATTCCAACAGAGAGATGGATAATAAGACCTTTTGCCACTGAACTGTCAGAAATGAAAGATGATGACCCAGCAATAGAGGAGCTGATTGATCTTCAAGCCTCAGCTACTCTTAGAGAAGAATTTGAAAAGGTTGGTGTTCATTTTTGGATAAAACTCGCAGATTCATTGCCACTCCTTCCAAGTGCTTGTTCCTTTTGTCACTACATACTTATGTGGATCAGGGTTCTCAAGTTTAGTAGCAATGAAGATGTTCCTTTTGTCACTACATACTTGTGTGAATCAGGGTTCTCAAGTTTAGTAGCAATGAAGACAAAGGCCAGGAACCGATTGAAAGTCGATGACGATATGAGAGTGGCATTGTCATCAACAGCTCCTCGCATAAACAAACTGATTGATTCAATGAATCACCAGTGTTCCCACTGATAATATTTCTGGTGTTTCTGTTTGGTTTTATTTTTTGTGACAAAAATGGACTGTATAATTTTTTCTTTAGAAAAGAATGTTTTATTTTCTTTATTTTTGGTGATACGAATGTATATTGCTATTTTTGTGCAAAACCTGAATAATATTTTTTTTCTGACTTTCTTGTTTTTCTGTCCCTTTATGATGGCTATGAATTTTTTGTATGGAAGTATGGGGGTAAATGGATCAAGCCGAGGGGGTTAATGATGGAGGAAAAGTTGAGAATCCCTGTTCTAACTGATTATTAACTTGGACTATATAATTTGGCGCTAAATATACAGTTGTCAATTAGGCCCTCTGGATAGTTTCGATTTAATGAAAATATTTGATTAATTTAGCAAAATACTTCTTTGTTCTTCATTTCTTACAATTCCCTTTTTAACGTCTATACGTCTATTGTCAGGTATTTGAATTAATATGTTCAACAAATATATTGATTTATAAACCTGTTCGACAATGAATTTAGTTGTATTGTTGCTTAAAAGTTCCATAACCATTGTATCATACAAAATGTTTAACAATAAAACTATTGTGTTCCTTTTACCATTTGTTTTAAACATTATATATTTTGAGCATAGATTACTTATAGCTTTGCCGTCAGTTTACTACCATGGTTATATTGAATTAGGGTTTTATAAGTAATAGCAGAATGTATCCAGTTCCATGCTAATATCGTTTGTCGGAGTAAAAGTGATTTACTTATTAAAATTATTTCATCTTGGTTATAAAATTCATCTTGCAGTTTATAAAACTATTTGAGTTTGAGTCTAATAAAGTCACTTAGATCTTGTTCTCTTTGTTCGTGATTAGGCTTGTTGATAGAACAAAAAGATAACCTTTTTCTTACTTGAAACACCTCATTATTTATAAGACTAACATTACATATGTTTAACAAGTTAGGATTTTAAGCTTTGTACCAAACCGTTACCTATGTATTGATTCGATTATTCCCGTGATGAAGTCAAAAGTTTTTGAATTAATGGGTTTTCTCAGTTCATTTGTAGTCCTCAATCTGACTTAAAAATTAAGAAGCTGAGAACATTTTAACAACATTATCGTAAGTACCCGTGAGTTGTTACAAGAACCTTTTCTTGTTTTCCATTTTGGTTTTGTGACAATCAACAAATAATGTTCATTTTACAAAGAAATCTTAATAACTCAAGGTTATTTTATGTTTTTAAAAAATTAATTAATATTTACAAGATTTGATTGTTTATGGATTTTACATAATATATGATCACTATGAATTATCAACGTTTAGAATATTTTACTGTTATTCATATATATATATACCATCGTTGTTAAATATTATATCTTTTATGTATTATATGTATTCTTTTAATTAGGTTGGCTTAAGAATTGTATTAATGCTGTGAAAGTGCTTCCAAGGACAAACCAGAATCCAAATAAAAACAAACGTTAATTCAACCATGATGGTGCTTTGAATATGTATATACATGTATATACGACTGTGTGTGAGTGTGAATAATACAAAAACTATTAAATATAACTTTGTCTAATCTGATTTTGCAGTTTATTAGTTGATGATAGCTCTTTTGTTGTTGGCGCCCTCTGGTTTTTAATGTTTAAAATATATTTACCAATTAGGATACTAAACTTCGCTTTTCTAATTTCTAACTAATTATAGCTTTGCACTATATCAATGTAAACTTCTTAATTCCACTCAACTCTCATACAATATTTATCATGGACAAATTAAAGGATTTGTCAGATATTTCAATTGATATATTCAAGTAATGTATAGCTTTGTAAGCCTTTGTAACAGTGAATTTGGATATATTGCTTCTTAAATATTCCGCAACTATTGTATCGTAAAACCCTTTGTTATTAAAACTATTGTAAAATGAAACATTTTTAAATAATTAAGTTTGAAGTGGTTCAAACGTTTTTGTCTTAGTGACATTACAGGCTGAAAAACAGCTAAAAACTCAATGATTACTTAGTCATCTAAAGCTTTATTCAGAAATGATGTTCTAAGTTACTTGTTTCTGTAGTATTTCTGACTAATAAACTTTCCGAAAAGGAATTATTTTTTGCACATAGGAGCACAAGTTACCACTTTTGCGTGTCTGGCCTGAATAGGTTTAAAATTATACATGTTTTGGCTTATGTTTAAACTTAATGATCTTCAACACGAACATTAATAAAGCTGTCCAGTTATACTATGTTCTTAGTATACGTTTATTGACGTAAGAAAACACAGAATTTTCATTCTAGTTTTGGAGAACACAATCATTTGAACATTGTATTAACACAATTATGCTGTGATAATATTATCTTCGAGTCTTAGCTCAAAAGAAAATTTATATTATCTTCTGATTCTCCTCTTAGTTTTAACTCTGTGAGATCATAACATAAAAAATAACTCTTTGAAATCCTCATAATTATTATATTTAAACAAAAAATATTGAAAAATATTATACTTCTGAACGGTTTTCTAAGCGATGAGTGACCATGTTCAAATTATTTTTATTTTTTGCTGTTTCTCGATTGTTTATTTTGTTACAGAGTAGAAGGACCTTAATAATTCATAAAAAGAAACGCTTAAAAACAAAAGAAGGAAAGTACGCCATGTCTGGAACTTTGATGCTAAGAATTACTGTTACTTGAGTAAAACGTAGGTTTCATTTCCTATGCAACTGTTTACAGAACATATTAATAGAAGCTCTCGATATAAATGTAATATGATAAAAATAATTAAACCAAATTTAAAAGTGAAACGCAGCCTACCAGTACTACCCGCTTCCTACACAGCTGCTCTTAACAAAAGAGCGGATCTGACAGTCACAATTATAACGCTTCCACAACTGAAATTGTAGACCGTGTTTAGTGACTCATCGCGAATCCAACTCTGGACTTTCCTATCAAGAGATCAGAACGTTCATCATTGTGTCAGACTCTGTATATCAGCCCATCAAGAAGACGTAGGATCGAATCCTGACAATTACCAACACAGAAATATCGTTTTTGGGACTTCTATGAAAATGGCGGTATCTTGTTATAAAAGAAAAAGTTACTAGTTAATAATTAGACTTGTTTGGTGGTATGGGTTACTAACCCTAATAACGATAATCCAAGAACAATAACATCTGATTGTTTAGGGTGTGGTGGAATGTTGACACACGTAACGAAAGCAGTACAAGTTTAAAGTCCACTGAAAACTTTTTAAAATGTCTTCCAAGACATTAGAACAGGAAATAGATTGTCATTGTCTTTGTTTTATGTAGCAAAATCACATTAAACTATCTGAGGAAATCGAACCCTAGAATTTTTGTAAGTTCACGAATTTCCACTGACCATTG